ACACGATTGGTTGTGACAAAACAATCCACTCACGGCGGCAGTTTCTCATTATGGAGACTTACGTCGTGACTATAAACAAGAGTTAGGGACAACCCTTATCTCATGTTGGCTTATTTTTAAGAAACCAGTTTTCAGTCATGACCAATTATATGTTGCTGTCTCCCGTGTCACTAACCGAAAAGGGTTAGAAAATCTTAATTTGTGGCGAAGATGACGTGCCAAAGAATCAAACCAACAATGTTGTATATAGGGAAGTGTTCAACATTCAGTTTACTATATATGTTTATATGTTTATTCTTATGATCATGATCATTTTGTTATTACACAATTTATATACAATTTTGCCTTCTGAAAAGCACATAGATAATAATTTTTCCGTGCATCGCACGGGTGATTACTAGTATAAAGAATAATATTTGGTATAGAGTGTAAATTCCTCAATAAGAACTTAGTATATTTTCTTTTATATGGGCCTTTAGAGGTTCTGCTAAGCACTTTAGACTTATGGAATCCCACTATAAAAGTAATGACTTTATTGCGTAATGATTGGTTCTTAATTGATTATGAAATTGACTGTAATAAAAACATAATTTTTAGGGAACCCCTAAGCGTGCCTACTAAGAGGTTCGTCCTTATCATGCACCAAACTTGGAAGCAGCAAAAATAAACATGTATTTAATACGTAAACAGAAAATTTAATATTAACAGGCATAATATTTATTAATTTGTGTCACCATTATGCATAATTTTTTTCGTAGTTTAATTCGTGACTTTCACAATAGATCCTCATAGATCCAATCAAGTGGTATCAGAGCCCATGGTTAATTAGTTTTTGCGCGAAGTTTGAATTTTTATGGCTGATGTGAATTACGTGTGTTCAAGAACAGCCATATATAGGATTATATATTGCATAACTAGGTTTTTGCGGAGTAGATTAATCCACTATTATGGGCTATGTGTTTGATTTAATTTATCGCATGTTTTTAAATCATCTAACATGTCAAAGAATTATGGCTGAATGTTTGTAATAATTATTCGTCCGATGTGACACCGGATAGATTTTATAGTTTTCTTAGGCAAAAATGTAAATCCATCTGTGGGCCTAGGATTGAAATTTGTAAATTTTTGTATTTTTTTTTTATTTTCATCTTGATCGTGTGTAGATCAATCGATAGATCATGGAGACCATGGACCTCAATGACCCGATCAGCCCCGGGCCACCGTGACATCGCGACATGGCCGCGCGAGCATGTGCGGAAACAAGTCGCAGCAGTCGAGAGACGTGATTGACTAGGAATGCCTCTGGAAGGATAGACGGATGCGCTCGACGACATGGGGTGACGCGAGCTGGTGGGCATTTCGCGTACGTGAGGCTGAGGCTTGGTTGTGCGACAAGAACCACCCAGTTTGTGCTGAGGCATGCCGTAAGTGCGGATCGCGCGTGTGAGCAGTCCGCGACGACGCCCGGCGAACGCACAATGACTGGCCGCGTGTTTAGTGCGCAATGTTGACTGCACGCACGAGATTTGGGGAAACTTATTGCAGCAGCGCACGAACATCGTGTTGAGCACGAGCCCAGTGTCATGTAGTTGAAGCCTCGACAATGGCCATACGTCACTGAGCGATCGCGATTACCGGAAGAAAAAATGTTCCGATGACTCACGCCGGCGCACGGTGGCAGCTACTGCCGGACAACTGCGGTTTCTGGCGCTAGACAATGACCTAACTGGATAGGGCGATTAATTTCTATAAAAATTCTATTGCCTAATGAGTTCCAAGCATATTGAGAAATTCGGTAGATTTAATTCGATTATTTCCTGATCTACTTGGATTTTATTTAATTGCCCATAACAGTGAATATATTTTTCACTTTTGATATTGTGTCCATTAAATGCTACATATGCATGTGTTAGTGAAAATGAATTCCACCAGGGCTCCTTCAACTCGGACGGCCTCCGTACCTGCAAGAACCCAACGCCTGGAGGGGTCCCGGCGTCGGCCTCCGACGCTCAAGTCAATATTACTCCAACACTCCAAATCCCAAATGTATAGTAATGAATGTAGAGAGGGTGAGAGAATGAGATACCTTAG